TATATTTATATTTATATAATATAGACAAACCAAATATGAAAAAACTCATTTCCTCTTTGGTATAAAAATCAGACTCTCACCTTGAGAGACACACAAACAGACATGTTGGGTTTGTAAACTGTGGCCTAAAGGGATCTCCCTGTCAAGCCTCCCCCCACCTCCACCCCTCACATGCCTCCTGACGCCCACCTTCGGTTCCCTCAGGGCTCCCGCACCCCATGTTACAGGTCTCATTCCCCACCCCAGCTCCGCACCATTCCTGAGTACCCCTCTACTACCAAAGATTAGGAACAGATTCTTCCCAAGACTGATCTGGTAGCAACCAACCCGGGAAAAGCCTAATTTGGGGACTGGCTTCCTAGGTGCGGGTGATGGAGGGGAAGGAGGAAGGACAGGGCCGCGGCTCCAGCCGGGCCACACCAAGCAGCAGCCTCCTGCAGCGCCTCCCCCTTGCCAGGCCCCTCCTGCCCAATGCTGGGGCCAGAGGCGCAGGATCGCTTCTTTACCAGCAGAGCCCAGCTTCCCTGTCAGACCTAGCTCAGGTCCTGGGGTGCAGCTGCAGGACACCACCAAGGAGGGAGAAGGAAAGTTGCAAGGGACTCTGCTAATGAACTTGGGCCTAAATTTAAAATCCAAGAAAACATCTAAGGACAAAATTTCATACCCAGCTATAGAGCACTGAGAAGAACGGGGCCACTTTCCCAGGTTCTAGTCCAATGCCAGCAGGACTTAAGAAATCCAGGACTTGATAGACTGGGGGGCAGGGGACGTAGCACTTCACTCTCAAGGTGAGGAAGGAGACAGGACCAAACCCTCCTTACGCTCCCTGCAGGCTCGGGCTGACAGGCACCCCCGTCCCTGGGCAGACTCGCAGCACAGCTGCTGGAACACAAACCGAGCCACGCACAGCCAGGTCAGGGAAACGTGAGCCAGCCTCTTCTCCAGGAGAGTTAAGACACCAACCACAACATAAAGTCACATAAAGGCCTCCTCCACCTGCTAAATAAAAAAGACAAAACCAAACTGGACACAAACACAAATCAAGGAGAGACACACACGATGAGAGGGGCCCAGAGGCCCCAGCAGGTCTCTGGCTTCCCGGCGTGATACATTCTGGTCTAATTCAGGAGCAGGGCTCCAGGGCCCCTCTGGGGAGTGGGAGTAAAAAAATAGAGATTAGCGTCTCCCTGTGGGGCTCTCAGGAAGGGCAGGGCAGACCCAATCTCTCACAGTTTTTTCTTGTTTTTGGTTCCACGTCTGGCCCCCCACTGGGGCTGGTTCCTGATGCCTCAGCCCCTGCCCGTGGGTCCCTCCACCTCCACCCTCCAGGCTGGGGACACCCCAGCAGCACTTGGGACCAGCAGGACAGCCTACCAGGGGAGAAGGGGGGCAAGGACGAGGACCCACAGTTCTGAGATGCTGGCCCGCCCCCACGTGCCCTGACCCCCGCCAGGGCGGCCCAGTCCCAGCTGTCACCCCTTGAGGGGCTTGTCGGGTCCCCCACTGGGGCTGCCAGCGCAGTCACTCTTCTTCCTGCGCAGGCTCTCAATCCAGCTGGAGCTGGACCGGGTGGTGAAGCTGGAGAGTGCGAGGGAGCTGAGCCGCATGTTTTTGCCAGACATGATGAGCTCCCCGAAGCCCTCCTGGTGGGAGAAGGCGTAGCCCGAGCGCCGGGAACCCGTGCGTCCCACCCTGCGCATGCAGCGGTGCTGGGCCTTCTGCTTCTTCCGCACCAGCTGGAAGCGGACCTGGGGTGAGCACCGGGGAGAAGTCTCTGTCAGTTCAGATGCCACCACAGGACAGGGACCCGGAGCACGACTCGAGTCGCGCCACCCAGACCTGCAGCCGCGTGGAGCGTAAGCCGAGGGCTGCTAACACAAGCCTCCGTCCCCCGAGCGACGGCCGGCTTCTCACCGTGTCAGAGAGATCAGGCTTCAGGCTCAGCTTGAGGAAACGAAAGGCAACCACAGGCATGATGCAGACGACCGTGGTGAGGACGATGGTCAGCCACACCGTGGGCTGGGCCAGGGTGTTCTGGGCATTACCTGGTAATGCAGAGGCAGCCTGGAGTCACACAGTGGACAGAGGGCAGCCCCCTGCACTGTTTCTATCTTGGACAGCCCCCCTTCTCCCCAATCCCAAAACCGAAGGGGCCCGAGGCTTCCCTCTCCTCCTTGCTCCCCAAATGTCTTATCTCCAAATTTGAGTCTAGCTCCAACTTCCCCCCAGCTGCCCCACTTGGCATCTCACTGAATGGGTAACAGGCATCTCAGTAACCATGTTTCCCCACCTCAAACTGCTCCCTGCCTTCCCAGAAGCCCGGAAGTCGACCTGGATTCCTCCCGCTCTCCCTCTCATTCCATCCACCCATCCGTTCTCTCCATACAGCAAACGTACAGACTGAGAGCACAGTATGCTCCAGTTTCAGAATACGTGAAGCTCGAGGCTTTCTCTCTATTCCAAGCCACCCTGGTTCCTACTATGACTCACAGCTGGTCTTCCAATCTGTACCTTTGCCCCCTTCATCCTGATCTCCCCTGCCAGGCCCCACCTATGGCTTGTGTTGACACCATTTGCCCTTCCTGGGTATTGCCTGCCCTGTGTTCACATTGTCCCTTCCTCAAGAGAGCTTTCTGACCACCCTTGTCCCGCTCTACCTTGGCTTGATGTTTTTTATGGAACCTAAAAGAGTTCCAGACATTTTATCTGTTAACTTGTAACTTGTCTCTCTCATTGAATATGAAATCCAGGAGGTCAAGGATTTTGCCTGTTCACTGCTGACTCCCAACATCCAGAAAGGTAAGTGCTGACTGAACACCCACTGGATGAGAGAATGACTGGCTCCTATGTGACTGTCAGCCTCTACCTCCCACCAGGCCCCCAGCCACTGCCACTGCCACTGACGTTATTTTTTTTTTAAGGACTCACTTATTTATGCATACAGAACTGGGGTCCAGGCCAGAGGTGCAGGGGTGGTGAGAGATTTCACCAGAGACAGAGTGGGAAGCAGAATAGGCAGATGTACTGAAATACACTGCTGAGGGGAGCAGCAGGCGGGTCAGGAGAGGTCTGCCACGCTATGTGGGTCAGGTCCCTGGCCTGGGATCAAACTCATGCTGCAGTGGCTGCCACAGCTTCATAGTGCTGTGCTTTAACCCACTGCGCCACCAGGCAGGGCCTCATTCACTTTTTCTAAAGTAATCTTTGCATGCTTGGCGAGATTCCTGGCAAGTCAAATGTAAATCTGGCAGCTTGGAATTCTGATACCTCCAATGCCCTACCCTTCCAGCCTCTTCCACTGCTTCCCAAAGGGGATTCCTGTCCCACCCTACCTGCAACACACTTCACCCCCCTGGAAACAAGTGTCCTTTGGCACTTCCACCTCTCTAACTTGGAATCTGACAGACCTGGCTACTCTCTCACAACACGCTCCCCTGTGAAACCATCCTTGAGCCTTCATCCCCCACACCCCCAAGCAGCTATTCTGTTGCCATGAAGACTGGCACCCCTGGAGTCCCCACTTCCCATACCCAGCAAGGTTGTCCTTCAGTGTCAGGGGCATGGACACTCTCAAGGGCAGGGCCTGGGTCAGAGACACCAGGTGTCCCACAGTACCTTGCAGAAGACCTAGCACATCAGGAAAGCAGAATGAATGTGCAGACATGCAGACTGGCCAGCAGGCCTGTTAATCCCTCTTAAACCCTCGCTGATTTAAAAGGACACCGGGACTCACCCACAAATCGAAACTGGTTCGGAAACATGTCAAAGAGCCCATTGCTGTGCATGGCAAAGAGGATGGCAAAGTAAACAGCCAGGCTGCCCCAGATGAAGAAGTGGTTGATGGCTGTCCAGTAGCCTGTGTCCAAGCCGATCTGTAGAGAGCCGGAGCCATCACAGGCAGAAGAGGTACCCCTCGGAAGCTCCCACACCCTCCCAAAAACAACTGCGGTGCCCGAGGCAGCCCTAGGGACAAGAACCTCACTCCGTCCAGAGGTGAGGGCAGTTCCTGGACTCCCTCATACCTGCACACTGACCACTATGACCAGCGAAGTGGCCACAGTGACTGCAAACGACTGGTAGTCGGCCAGCTGGGTGCCATCATCCCGGGTGGCCTCAGCGAACACCCCATAGGGGATGAAGAACATGAACACGGAGGTGTAGATGCCCTGGGCGATGCAGATGAAGAACTCCCGCTTGTTAAAGAGGAGGTTCAGCTGGCCCGGCTCGTAGAGCTTGGGGTACTCCATGCTTCGCTGCTCTGGGACATCCTGTGTCGGGAGACAGGTGGCACAGGAGGGCTCAGAAGCTGCCATTTTGACTCAGGATAACAAGGACAGACCCTGTCTACAAGACTTTTGCCTCATCCTTTGACAGCTAGAGTCAAGCTCCAGCCGGCCATCCCCAACCAATCTTTGTGACTCCCAGGGCCAAAGGCCAGCTCATCTGGGAGGGGGATCGCAGTTCCACACCCTGCAGCTGAAGGAGTGGCACTAGGCCCAGGGCCCACCAGCATCAATGTGACTCCTTGTCAGCAGTGTCCTCCCCAGCCCACAGAGTCATCAACACCCCGTACCTGATCGAAGACCCCCATAGCCAGAACTGGGAGGGAGGTGTACACAATGTTATAAAGGGTGATGAAATACTGGTCATAGACAGTCTGGAAGAAGAACAGAGAGCAAGAGAAGCGTGAATACATCGTCCTTCTGGAGAGCTGGGTGCCGGCACGGAGCCCTGAGAGGCTGTTGAGCCCCCGCACCCCTCCTCCAGTCAGCATTTGTCTCATGCATACATGCTCCAGACAACAGCCAACCCTAGGGGATGAGCTGTGGACAGGCAGATACAACCTTGGCCCGGGGCACTCAGGGCTAGGCAAGGCGGGGAACATTCACTACCTGGGCCGAGAAGCCACAGAAGAAGCCGAACCAGAAGTGGACCATGGTGAAAGCAAAGTTCTTGTAGAAGAAATAACAGAGGAACTTGCACATGCGCAGGTAGGACCAGCGCCCGTGCACCAGCAGAAGGCGCTGCAGGAACTTGAACTGGGAGAAGGAGTAGTCAGAGGCCAGGACAGCCTGGATCCCTTCCTGCCCGCTGATGCCCACACCGATGTGAGCGGCTGCAGAGACAAGAGGGGACAAGAGGCCAAAGATGGCCACACCAACAGATCCCAAGTGACTGCCCCCCTTTCCCATCAAGCTTCCCTGGCCCAGAGAACTCACAGGCCCTTCTCCTCGCCCTCCCACTCAGCCTGTACACCCACAGTCCACACTCACTTTTGATCATGCTGACGTCATTGGCTCCATCCCCAATGGCCAGCGTCACAGCCTTCTTGTACTTCTTTACCAGCTCCACCACTTGTGCCTTCTGCAAGGGGGTCACCCGGCAGCAGATGACAGCTTTGCAGGCACAGGCTGTCTCCAGAAACTCCAGCTCCATGTCTGCCTCTAGCGCATGCGCCTGGAACACAGAGAGCACTGAGAAAGCTCCAACCTTTCCCGGGGGGACCTTCCCAGCCAGTGCCTCCAGTTCCTTATAGACCACACCCCCCGGGAAGTGGAGGGAAATGAGAGAACAAGAGACAAAAGTCATACAGAGACCCACGCTCTCTGGAGATACGCAGCCCACACTAAGGACGGAGACACCTACCAGGCTGTGCCCATTAATGACCAGGGCGTACTCCCCAGCCACGGCTTCCAGGACAGAAGTGAGCTTGGAAGAAGAGAGCTTCTCCTGGTAGACGAAGCCGTTGCCCACGGTGCGCGGTGAATCCATCATCTTCTCCCGGGCCTTCCTGGAAAGGGGGGAAAGGGAACACTGGTCTTCAAGGGCAGGAGCACGGTCCCTGAGGGGACAAGAGGCTCCAGGAACCCCCTGCCTGGCCCCTGCACAGGGCCCCTGTCCACCTGGGTCCCTGCTTACCTGAGCTCTTCCCGCACTTCCAGGACAGTGTGGCCAGTGACAATAAACACTTCCGTCATGTCGTCTGTCAGCATCTTGCAGGAGTAGCCAATGTTCACGGCCGTCTCTACCAAGAGAGAACGCAGGAGCTACAGACAGGGCCCGACACGGTCAGCATACTCTCCTGCCTGATGTCCAAGGCCGTCCAGACGCACCTGCCTCTGCCCTCTGGGCTCTCACCTTGTTTGTCTCCAGTGAGCACCCAAATCTTGATGTTGGCCAGAGTCAGGAGGGCGATGGTCTCCGGAACCCCTTGCTGCAGCTTGTCCTCAATGGCTGTGGCACCCAGCAGCTGAAAATATCACCAGGATCCCTGCTGTGAGCCCCGGGAGCCAGCCCTCCATGCCCAGCCTAGCCCGGGCCACAGCCCATACCATCATGTCGCTCTCAACCTCCTCGTACACGCTGGCCAGCCTGTCCTCCCGGCTGTCCTGGGCCAAGCTGGCCTGCAGGCGCCTTTCAGCCCAGTCCTCATAGTACTCTTCATCCAGGTCCTTGTAGGCCAGCACCAGGGTCCTCAGTCCGTCCCCGGCATACTCCTAGAGGCAGAGTCCAAGAGTCAGCCCTCCTGCCCGTCCCTCCCACCACACCCGGCCCCTCTCCACACCTACATTCAGGTGGTCAGCGGTGGTGTTGAGCAGCTCTTGGGTGGAGTGGTGGAGTCTGTCCAGCAGGATCGTGTCAGCCCCTTTGCAGTAGAGTCGGATCTTCCCCTCCGGATTCCGCACTGAGTGGGGCAGGGACAGAAAGCTCAGGAAAATATCCAGTCAGGCAAATAACCCCAATCTCAAGGCGCCCCCGAGGGACCCTGCACCTCTACACACGGCCCCCGAATGAGCGTGACACCCTGGTGCTGCCCTCACCTATGACTGACATCCGTTTGCGGATATTGTTGAAATCCAGGATGGCCAGGAGCTGGTAGGTGATGGCGGTGCCCAACTCATGGACAGTGATGGTTTTAGGGGTACGAGAGCGGAATACAAAACCAAAGTTCCTGGCTGCAGTGACCAGGGCCCCCTCGTCCGGGGACTGGGCTTTGTAGTACAGCTCCCCTGGGTGGGAGAAAGAATACTCGTAGTGCGGGGCTCACCAGCCGGCCTTGAGCCCTGCCCAGGGGCCCAGCCCGACCGCGCCCCAGGCAGCTCCTTGGCTCACCTTCACTCTTCTCTTCCGACATGACAGTATGACACAGGGAAAGGAGGCGGAAGAACTCGTGTGTGTGGGGATCCCCCATCTTGACAGCCTCTAAGAGGGTGGGGTCCCAAAATAAGAACTTCTTGTCGGCCAGAGGATTGAAGGAGAAGTCAACAGGTTCGGGCCTCTGGAGCAGGTAAGAGGGTGATCAGGAAAGGGTGGGCCATGAGGCTGCCTCCCAGGCCCGCACCCCGGGGACGGCCCTTCTAACTCTCAGGCGAAGAGCCCAAGGTCCTGTCCACTGTGGACCTCAGAATTCCCACTTCTGCTGCCAGTTCTTCCTTAAACACCAATTTCGTCCAGCAGTGTCTATCTCCCGACCAGGCGACATCCCTCTCAGCTATACGCACTGGTACTGCTCAGGCGCCCCTATTTAACTGGCTTATGGAGCAACTGCAGCGCTGGGCCTTACCTCTCCCAGTTCAGCTTTGTGTCCCAGGACATCGAACACGTCACCTGCATGCATCAGGACAGAAGGGACAGCAGTGTCAGCGCGGGGGAGGGGCCTCCTGCACAGAGCAGGCATGTTACCCTCTTCCTTACTCACTGAGCAGATCCAGATTCCCACTGCTGACACGGGGGTGGGGGCAACAGGCACCGGGCGCTTCGAACCCCAAGACTGAACGCCATGGCACTGCTCCCCACGCCTGCCGGTCCCCACCAGCTTTCCGCACAGGGCAGTTCAGTTCAATCCTCCACCCCATCCCCAAGGCTCCCAGGCCTCCTCAGATGCCTTGTACCCTTAAGGCTCACACTGCAAAGCCTCACACACCAGCCACAGGCCTGAGTTAGTACCAAAGCAGCTACTCGAGAGCTCCCTAGGCATAAAAGTCAGGCCCCACACTCCCTGTCCCAAACCATCCCAGCCCGCTCAGTCACAAGGCCACTGCAGCAGGCCCATACCGGAGAGACCACGGTCACATTCCAGAGACTCACAAGGGCCCTGTGCAGCAATAGAGGGGGAATTTAGCACGCCACCGGGCAGCCGAGATCCCACCTGGCCAGGACACCCAGAGGCCACCGTCTCAGGCTTCGCTGCTGCCAAGACCTCCCCTATTGCCCAGACCTGAGACCAGGGCGTGGGCACCAGTGGAAGCTCCATCAGTGTCTGCTTCCAACGCTGGAACGGGGGAAACCCTCGCAAAGCCTCGTGGACCCACGTATGAAAGAGTTAAAAACCCACAACTGTAGGCGCGCGGTCTCACCGTAGCTGTGGCCGTTGATGGAGCACTTGTTGAAGACCATGATGTTCTGGGTGAGGGTGCCTGTCTTGTCGGAGAAGATGTACTCCACCTGGCCCAGCTCCTCGTTCAGGGTGGTGGTGCGGGCCTCTGCCGGCGTCCGCTTCTTCATGCAGAACATCTTCTTATCCCAGTTGATGAAGTAGCTGTGGCCCAGACGGATGACCTCCACACTGCACGGGGCACAGGAGGCAGAGTCCAAGAGTCAGTCAGGCGAAGGCCCTCTGCCTCCAAGCAACAGGAGCGGGCAAGACACCTGGGCACAGGAACCCCACAGGGTAGAGAAGGGCAAGGAGCACCTGGAGATGGAGCCAGACATCTAGAGCTGGCAAAGGAGCCCAACCCGACCCTCTAGTGCCTCCAGGCTAAAAGGGAAAAGCGCCTGGGCAGGTGGGGCAGACAAAAGGGTAGAGAAGAAAGGGAGTGTGGACAAGGCACTCAGCAAGTTCTTACCTCAGGACTAGTAATACAGAAACTATGCAGAGAAAACGAGAGAGTGCGAGGGGGGGGGAGAGAGAAAAAAGGTAATGAGGGTGTTGCGTGTACCACAGCGGCACAGAGGCCACCTCAGCAAGGCGAGGGGCCCCGTGGGGGTGGGGGAAGGAGGCCCCAGAGCCCGCTCCTCACGGACCCCTTCCGCCCGGGCTCCGGGCCCCACAGCCCTGGTCCATGGCTTCTGGGGAGAACAGGAGGCATCTGAAGATGCTGAGAAACACCAATCCACAACAGCACGGCGCCACCCACACCCCAAGTCTGGCACTGCCAGAGGGGGTCCCTGTGTAGGCGCAGTGTTGCTGAGCCAGGGGCACAGAGAGCACCCTGCTGCCAGGTGACCGAGGCTGCTCTCAGGACGTTACCAGGCAAAAGGTGGGTCCTCCGTAGCCTTCCCCCACTCAGGAAATCAAGTGCCCCTTCCCTGAACACACACTGTAACCTGAGGAGACTGACACTTTCTTAGGCAGCTACAGTGGGCTAAGAGTGATGAAGAGATGGAGGAAAAATAGGATGGGCGATGAAAAAGTAGGCTGTACGCATGAAAACATTTATTTTTTAGAAAAAGAATTAGGGCCCTCCCTGGTGCGCAACAGGTTAAAAGCACCACACTATGAAACAGCTGTCCGCAGCCACTATGGCACGAGTTTTATCCCAGCCAGGGAGCTGACCCACATGGCGCGGCAAATCTCTCCTGACCCGCCTGCTGCTCCCCTCAGCAGTGTGTTTCAGTACATCTGCCTGTTCTGCTCCCCACTCTGTCTCTGGTGAATCTTCTCACCCACCACACCTCTGGCCTGTACCCCAGTTCTGTAAGCATAAATAAGTCTTTATATAAAAAAATGGTAAGTTCCCTCATCTCCAGTACAAGACATTAAATACAAAGAAAATGTCTTCTGACCATTCTCTCTTCCTCCTCTGGCCCTTCTTTCTGTTCCTTCTCACTGGCCCTGTTAATCTTCTCTTTACCTCAAACACCTCAGATACCCGAGATGTCTGCGTGATTCTATTATTCATGCCACACAGCGCTCCAGCCAATACTTCCTAAAGTGTTCTTTAGATGTCTTTAAGATCCTATAACAGTTTACTAGGTCCAAAGTCCACAGGCAGATTCAAGACCCTCCACAATGGGGAACAGCTTATATTTCCAACTCTGTCCCACAGCTCCCATTCATGGTTCATGCTCCTGCCAAACCATTCCATGTCCTTCCTAGGTTGCTCTCTGCATGCCTTTGTTTCCACGCCTCTCCTTGGGGCTCTACTCTCACCCACCCCAGCTACCACTCCAAGCCCAGTTCAACAGCCACCTCTTCAGAGATGTCCTCCCTGGTTAACTCCATGGGGAACAGTGTTCTCTGCACCCTGTGGCAGGCACACTGTGCTCCCATGCTATGCCTCAATCTGCTTCTGTTGCTAGCCCTGACCAGTCTGCTGCTTCTAAAAGGTAGAGCCCATGTTCTCCCTTCCCGAGGCCACTGCTTTACACGAGAGTGACTTCCACAGCACTTGTCCCTGTTCTCCTTTCAACACATCTACACTTTCTTCCTCTACCAGGCTGAAGCTTTGTAGATGCCACAGCACTGAGCATGCTTCTCAGCACAAAATAGGCGTGCGATAAATAGGTGCTGAATATATCAATAGTTTTTGCTTGACAGAGTCCAAACCGCCAGGAAACTGTGGTGAAACTTGCTCTGCACACAGATAAACAGATAACACGGAAGAAGATGACTTCTTCAAGTGCAGCAGCAGGAAGAAGATGACTTCAAGTGCTTTCTCAGGGACTTCCTCTTCACAGAAAAGAAAAGTTGGTCAAGGGCCCACCTCATCTGCCTGGAGACCCTGCGGCGGAGAGAGCACATACCTGACATAGAGCGATATGGGCACGACGGTGTTGAGGATGATGATGTAGGACCAGAAGGAGAGGAAGCCAGAGAAGAAGGCACTGTCCACCGCCGCATCCCATGGCAGGTAGACCTGGAAGCGGGTCCCGACCTCATGCTCCCAGATGGCATTGCCAATGGCCAGGATCACCCCCATGCAGACCAGGAATCCAAAAATCTGGGGAAGAATGAGCAGCAGAGGCTAGGCTCCTGCTCAAATCCAAGAGTGCGTGTCCTCAAAGGTCAGCACTCACACCGGGCCATCAAAAGCCCTGGAATGTTTGAAACAGTGGCTTGTTCTGCTATTGGAAAGAATCCAGAACTGGTGACAGGCTCTAATATGTCAATGACTGTGACATGGCTTTTTCTGTGAAAATTATCTTGCTGGTATGAAAGGGAGGCTGAAAAAACTGTGTAGCTCCCCATCTCATAGCCCAGAGCTCTTAGGAATCCTCAAAGATGGTAAAAGAAGGGAAGGGGTGAGCTACTTAAAATATATTAAAAAAGCTTATTGGAAATCACCCATTTTACTCAGCCTAAGTCAGGGGAAGCCAACAAAAATTGCAAGTTTCTGCAGTGTTCATTATCTCAAACTGGCAAAAACAAATTTTAATAGGGCAAACAAATTGTATCTCCATAACTATAGATCTTGATAGTCAAAAATCTTATAATCAGCTTGGAGAAGGATCATAAGGAAGTTTTGATGGTTACAAAGAGAAAAATCAGAACACTGATTTCGGGTAAGAATCGCCAAAATGCTGCCACTTGGCAAGGCTTTGAAACGAAACAGGACCCCCAGCGCAGCGCACAGGGACCACCAGGGGGCGATGCAAGTCTTAGCCAGAGAGATTTAACCACACTCCTCTCAGACTGGAGCTCGGCAAGCCTCTAAGGCCAAGGTGGAAGCTGTTCATCAGAGACTGGCTCCAATCTCTGCAAGACGGCATATGGCGGGCAGGCAGCAGCCAGTGCCAGCTAAGAAAGGGAGGAGAGCCCGACAAGGAGCTCAGATTTCTAGTCAAACAAGAGAAGGATTCAGGAATTGCCAAAAAAAACAAAAACAGAATCTTTTCCTCTGGGATCCTTCACTCTTAGAAGTCAGGGGAAAGACCCCCATATAAAAGACCCCTATTTCCTCCAAACGGAAATTTTTCTCTTAATTCCCTCTTCATCTCCATGAAGGCTTCCTTGTCCCAAGCAAAAGCAAACAGAAGGTCACATGCTATGCTAAGTCGTCATCATAACTGAACTCCAGAGAAGGGAAGATTTGTTTTACTTTCTTTAAGTTGTTGATTCATACACGTTCCTAAGCTTTTTTGAAATAACATCTTCCCAGTCTACAAGAGGCCTGAAACAAACACTGTCTTGAGTGGCTGGTGGGCCAGTGACTTTTAAAGCCAAAACCTGCAGCCTGACTACCGACCAAGGAGCAGCAATGGGGGCAAAGGGAACCACCCACCCAGGGCAAGCAGCGGGCAGGGGCAGGAAGCAGGCAGGGAAGCCTTACCCAGAGCACCAGTGTATTCATGAGGCGATCAATACTTGTTCTCTTGAACTTTGTCCGGCCACTGTTTTGCATCAGCTTAGTGTCAGGACCTGGGAAAGCATGGGAAGGGCAGGGGAAATCACAGGCACAATTCTGGTTCTACACAATTCCTGGACTATAAGAAACTGGTAGGACAAGAGGCTGATATTCAGGGCTCTCCAGAGATTTACCTTCACGTAGTCCAAGCCGACCCAACCTCCTCCCACACTCTGGAAGGAAAGACTGAGGCACCAACTCTTAGCCTTCTTTCTGTGGCCCCTAGGACACTCACCTGCAAAAATGACCAGCCCGAAGCACCATTCGGTGTTTCGAAGCACACAGCCCCGTAGCAGCATGTTCTGGTTGCTCAGGGGGAATTTGTTCTCCTTCCAGTAGAGGGTTCCACTGAATTTGTCTAGTTTGTTGTTGGGAGGTTCGCAAATCACTTCACCTAAGGGTGATATGGGTGTTATCAATTAGAATCCTGCTTACAGCTTGATCAGGAGACAAGAAAACATAGCGAAAAGGCAGCTGAGGGGAAGGTGTAAGGATACTCCCACACTCCTGTGGGAGTGTGAACTGGTGCTATAGGTGATAAAGAAATGAGGCAGCATGATCTAATACTGAAAGCAAATCCAGTGATCCCACTTTGGGCAATTCTGCAGAAACAATAATGCAGGTCACAACAATTATCACTGAAGCATTATTTGAACAGAAGATGGGAGCCAACTCAGGACTATTTGAATAAATGAGGATACAGAGATTCTATGAAATATTATGCAGCTATTTTTAAAAAATGACCCGATTTCTTTAAGCAATCATGTGATAAGACACCTTTAACATATTTAATGGGGCAAGAAAGGCAAACAGCAGATATTTTTGGAGTAGAGGGTAACCCTACCCATTCATGTTCAAGTTTTTATATAAACATAGAGGAAAAGTGTGGATGATACAATAAATTGCCAGTTCACCTGGCTACCCACGGATAGAGCAGGAGGGCTTTTTCTTAGACACACTGGATACTTTGTCTCATTAGAAAGAACATATATTATCCTTCTGAGAGAGTAAACAAAAGAAAGCCAAATTTTAACATGCATGGCAGAAAGGGACCTAGGGCCCTCCCTAGTGGCCTACTGGGTTAAAGCGCAGCACTAAGCGGCTCTCTGCAGCCACTGCAGCCCGAGTTCAGTCTCTGGCCAGGGAGGTGACCCACGTGGTGCAGCAGACCTCTCCTGACCTGCCCACTGCTCCCCTCAGCAATGGATTTCAGTCAGTCTGCCTTCTCTGCCCCCCACTCTATCTCTGATGAACCCTTTCATCTCCTGCATTCCTGGCCTGTACCGCAGTACTTGTATGCATAAATAAGTTAATCTTTAAAAAATAAAAAAGGAAGCCAGTCTCAGTCATGAAACGCTCCTGAAATGACCAGCTATAGAAGACCACCCGGCAGCCTGATGCCCCTCCCCCAAGAACTGTTCAGGGCGCTGCATCTTCACAGCAACAAGAAGTCAGAAAGAAAAGGTGCGATTTAAACCCCAAAATTCAACCCAGCTCCTCTACCTGATAGCTGCTCCTCCAAAATTACTCACCATCAAACTTGGCAAGCTTACTGATGTCTCCCAGTTCCGAGGTGACAGGAATCGCCTGACGTACCTTCATGTTGGTCTCTCTGGAAGAACAGTGTCCCTGAGTCCCGGTTCCCTTCCTTTCCTCTAGATTCTGCCGGAGGTACCTGGCCTAGGGTATCACTGCCCACACCCACTAGCCGAGGGTAACACTTACACACCCAAAGGCTTTACTACCCACTACCCCTACTTTTTCCAAGTGATGCAGATCCCATACCTGTGGATATCTTTCCAAAATAAGCTACCGACCCGTGAGGAGGCATTATAGAGGCGTGGCGTGGGGCATCGACTCACCCGTCGAGTTCTGCAGTCTCTATGTAACACAGCCCATGGGGCTCACTGCTGGAAAGGAGGAGGAGATCCGCCTAGAGAGAAAACTCTAGTGAGAAGCCAAAAACCCCCACCCACAAGCAACCTTGTGCCTATCCCTCCTTCACTGAGCATTCTTGGCCTTTTCGGTCCCAAAATGCTAATGGCTAGAAAGGAAACGTGAAATGACAGCAAAATTTCCTTCCATGCTTATTTAAGAGGCAAGAGTAAATTAAGACTCCTTTTGGGCCTCCCTGGTAGCACTTCAGAACAATGAAGCAATCAGCAGCCACTGCAGCACAAACTCCATCTCCAGCCAGGGAGCTGACCCACATGGCTCGGCAGACCTCTCCTGACCTGCCCGCTGCTCCCCTCGGCAGTGCATTTCAGTCAGTCTACCTGTTCTGCCCCCCATTCTCTGATGAATCCTCTCACCCCTGCACCTTTGGCCTGTACCCCAGTTCTTGTATGCATAATGCATAAATAAATAAATATATCTTTAAAAAAAGAAAGATTTCGGCCCTCCCTGGTGGCGTAGTGGGTTAAAGCACAGCACTGAGAAGATAAATCCACTTCTGCATGAGTTTGATTCCCGCCTGCCTCCGAGGTGGGGTTCTGCTCCCCACTCTGTCTCTGGTGAAGCCTCTTGCCACCCCTCAGCCTCTGGCCTGTACCCCAGTTCTGTATGTACAAATAAATAAATCTTTAAAAAAAAAAGAAAGATTCCTTTTTGCCAAAGGAAGAAGCCTGGGGGCACCACGTCCTTACCGCCACAAACTGGTTATTTTCTAACTTGATAATATCACCGACACAGACATTCATCCACTGCTCTTGCTGGAGGCTGAGACAATGAGAAGACAGAGAAGAGGCTGTCAGAAGCTAGAGAAATTCCCAGGGGACCCCTCTCCTCCCCAAGGCCTTCAGTCTCCAACAAGCACTCACATTCCATTGATCAGCACCTGAGACTGACGGTTATTCACCTGGTTATCACTCTTGTGGCGGAACTAAAAAGAAGAGAACTAAGGTTAGGTGCCTTCTCCTGCGTCAAAGGAGGGAGGTGACCCGAGGCATGCAGATTATGCTGGGTACCACCTCATGGTATCTCCCGATACACCTTTTCCCCTGTTCACAAAGCTACTTCTCCCTCACTCCCCCTCCCTACTCTCGGTCATGACGTCCTGTGTCTACCTGGACGAGGGCAGGTTGGTGAGGTCATCAAGGAACTGTGCTGGGTGGAGGTGAGTGTGCTGGGGTTGGGGAAAGGCAGAAGAATGAAACAACTCACATAGTCATCAGTGGCATCTTTAACAGCTGTGATGGTGAGGACAAGAACCAAAGGCACGATGGTGGTGAACCAGGACAGGGACGAGATCTGTGGGATCAACTGAGAACGAGAAAGAGAAGGTATGCCTCTAAGCCCCAGCCCTCTTCTCCCCCACACCGCGCTCTTTCTCAACTAAGTCCGCCTATGAGCCGCAAAAGGTCTGCTATAGGTCACGTACCTGCAGAATGAGAAGGAACAGGAAGTAGGTATTGGCAACTTCTTGGAACTGCTCAAAGAGGTTGACAGGCAGGAAGGTGAGAATATTGTACTTGGAGGTCTTGATGCAGTTACTCTATAACCATGGGAGAGAAGACAATGAGGCAGCCTGCAGCCCCCAACTCAGAGCCAGACAGAGAATGCTGCCTCCACTGCACTGCCCTCTATCGCCACCTCAGGCCAGCAACCACCACATGGAGGGGAGAGCAGAGAGCTGAGGAGAGAAGGGAGTCTCACCCGACCAGTGTATCCCACCTCAATGACAGGTGATGGCATAAAAAATTCAGCAGTGCAGCAGATGGAGAGTGGTGAGGAAACAGCCTCCCACTCTCCCCCAAGCATCCTACCCGCTCGGCTGGCCCCAAGTCACACCCAGGATGTTTTTGCACTTTTCTGACTGAGGAGGAGGGAAGAGGTGGTCTCGGACCACTTACCGCATACTGGAATTTCTCATTGTAGTCTCGGTCATTGGCCCGCGCCCTCCTTTCTTCTTCTGCAACAGAATGACGCTAGAGTCAGAAGGAGCAAACTGAGACTCTTTCATATATATCCTTGTGGGAATATATTGAGGGCCCTTGATTCTCTCCACAGAATATAGTTTTAAGGGGTGAGCACACACAGTCACTAAACTCTTCCCTCTAGTTCACCTCTCACCACTGAGCTCTGCAAGCATTGCATTCACAGGACAAGATGCCATCTTTCCTCACCAACACCCATGAAGGTCTTCCACTGGAGGCACTCAATGCCTCCCTCATTCCTTGCATGGACCACGTAGGCATTAACATAAATTAGGAATTCCCCAGAGGAACTGCAGATGAAAACCCAAACCCTCTTTCCCTAGGAGACCCCTGTACAGTAGTCAAGGACTGCTCACCCTCTAAGCTGGGGATTTGGGGGGAGTGCCAAGACAGAGGGTCACTGTGCCCTGCCTGGAACTGCTCTGCGGCAGCATCCCAGCCCCACGTGTAGTTCTGCTACAAGAGCCTCTGCTTGTCACATGTCACAGCGGAGGCTTCCGACTGGCCCACAATGACATCACCTTATTCAAAGCTCATTTCAAGTAGGAGAAGGGAGGGGCCAGGGATATGGGTCACGCAGACTGAGACAGATGAAGGAGGGAGCAATGGGGTGTTCTCCAAACAGCTGCTAGCTGTAACCTTGTGCCATCTGCACGCATTTCCCCTAAACAATGCACAGTCACTAGCTGACAAATGAGCTCCACCTAGACTAGACAGAAACTCCAAGGGTCTGGGTCTGTGGGCATCAAGTTCAGGTGTCCTACAAGGGTTCTCCAACCCATGACCTGGTGTCAGGATGACCTCAGGCTGAAAAAGGAGCACCTTAGGCAATTAACATAATGTCTTAAACCTATCTCTGTGCCAAAGGCAGCATTCCAGACCCTTCTCTCATTCCCTCCCAATACCCCTGCAGAGCACGATGCAATAATAAAATCTCAGATCACAGCATCCTCCCACTACTAGCTGGCGGCTACCTAGGCTACCTAGAGCACTCTTTCCTGGTGAGGTCACTCTACTCCCAGAAACTTCCCCAGAGAAGATCCTTGGGCTGAACCCCTGCGCAGTCACCGAAGACCATGCAAAGGGAGAGGAAGGGATGAGACTGGACCCTTTGAAGCCAGGACGCCAGGGTCTGGAAAGGAGAGAATCGGAGAAGGTTGGGGAGGCTTCGGATAAGCGAATGGAGATGGGAGGGGAGAATTGCGGGCTCAGGAGAGCGGCCAGACGCTGCCTCCCGTTACCTGTCCCCCAAGAGGGCTTCTTTCCACTCCAGGAGGGGGGCGTCCCGACCCGGGCCCACTTCTCTGGCATCTCCTTGGGGACCGTCATGATCCCGGTTTGAGCGGAGGGAGCGCAGATTGTCTGTCTGTCCTGGGCCTCAGCGGCGCCGAGGCCCCCCGGGGAGGTGCAGGAGCTGCGGCCGCTCAGAGGGAAGCCCGGGCCGTCGGGCGCACGCCCCACCTGCAGCCGGGGCCATCCTCCCGGTCGCCCGCACCCGGGGACGCCGTGCGCTCAGCGGC